GTGAAAGAATATATCACAGAAATTGTTGGCTTAAAAAAATAAAATATTACAAAAATTAAACTCAATATTTGCTCAAAGACAGAGACTTCTGTGGATAAGATCACCAGCTAAATTAGAGGTCTTAAAGTACATCTTTTACAAGGATATACATTTGGAAGAAGTGTTAGGCACCTGAATATAATCCATGCATTTAAAGAAGTTACAACATTTTGATTTATTTTTTGCCAAGTACTCAAAAGTTTTTGTTAAAATTAATATATGAAACAGCAACCTTAAGGCTTGAAGAGTTTTATATTCATATCTACGCGCCCTAATACAGAGAAAGATTTTAATCTCAGTTTTAACCTCAGTTAGTAATGTGGTCTCCAATCCTCATGTAGTGTTTATGAATTTATTCTTCTTTATTTATAACAAAGAGAAATTTGACAAATTGTTTTCTAAAGTCATCTCAAGTCTACATATAGTTCTGTGCAATTATGTCTACAAGAATTAAGTACATTGGCAAGAGAAACACACAAGAACTCCACGTAGGGAAATAGAAGAAAATGCATGTGTTACCAATTTAATCTGTCCATTTAAATATTTGTCAGAATTTTCCCCCTTTGGAGACAGATTACTATTAATTTGTTTTTTACAACATAGATCCCAAAGAGTATAATTTTTGCAGAATCATTCTCAAACATTTTCCACAGAGAAAACTCTAGTAAACATGATATGATAAAAATGAAGTTTACTAAGCACCCACTTTCTGCTAGGCACTATGTTCAGTGCTTTTTTCATTAATTTTTACAATCACACTGTGTAGTATGTATTCTGATTATCAGCATTCTATAAATAGGAATCTGAGGGTTAAAATAGGTAATTATTTTGCCCCAGGTTGTGAAGAAAAGCAGAGAGGCCAGGATTTCAATCCAGGAAGTCTTTACGTTTAACCATCAGTGTACAGTTTTTTGAAAACTTTAATTTAAAATTTAACTATAAAGATATATGTGCATATATTAATAGACTCCAAACTCAGAAACTAATAGATGGCTTCTAAGGAAGCAGTGCTCTTCCCACTCTGGCTCCTCGTCTCCAGAAGCAACCATCTCCATCTCTTGTAGGAGT